ACGGGCTGTCTTTGAGGATCACTATAGAAGAGGATCTAAGGCTTCGATTAGACGACTTTCTGGGACAAGACCCGCTGAAAGCTGCATAAACGGAGCTAAAAATCTGATGGCAAGGTGACAGAAGTATGTGGGCAACGTAAAATTTACATTATTATCTTAATTTTCCTAGAATTTTGTCATTTCCTTGAATAAAAGCTCTAAGACTTTAAAAAGCGACTTAACGCTTTGCAATAATGAGAAGAGCGGCTGCGTTTTTACATTTCAAAAAAATAATTCCGAAAAAAAATAAGTGTTAGAAGAGGATGTCGGATGTGGGATCTCGCTCGATCGAAGGGAAGTGCAAATTTCTATAAAAAATGATTCTCGCCAGGGCTGAAATAACTGAAAAAAATTAGTGGAATGTCAGAATAAGCAAGAGTTGTAACTGCTCTCAGTACGCGTCAGTTTTCTTTAATAAACTAAAGAGGAAGGGGGGGGAGGGAGAAGGACGTGACAGAATCTTTCTTGATCAAAAGGTTTGACAAAATAATATTTCAAAAAAAAATTTGTGAAGCTTCCAGACTTTGGCATCTCACATCAGTTCCAAAAATTCCAAAGCTAGTCAGTGCAGTGCTTTTTTCTGTCACGTGAATCGTTCTCAAAAAAAATGCTAACTTACGGAGGGGGGAGGGGGGAGGGGTGATTCGAAATTGGAAGAATCTTCGGAAGAATTTCATGTGGATAACAGCTTAGCAAAAACTTCCCTATCTCTTGCATTTTTTGTAGCATTCAGTAGGATTTGCATGAGTTAAGAAATTTGGCTTCCCTTATACTATCTCCAAATTGTAAAGTAATACGGTATAAATTCTTAACTTCAAACTACGACAAATTGCAGAATTTAAAGGGTTAGAGGTAATTTTTGCAAATGGGTGAGATCATCACGAATCCTGACACAAAATAGCAAGAACGATTGGAAAAGCGATGAACATGTTTCCCCATTACTGCGGAAATTTCTACAAGATTTCTTGCTCGCACATGAAAGGGTCGGAAATGGCTTTGACATAATAGCTTGAGACATGTGTTGCCTGAAGAAGTAGTCAAGGGCATGTGAGACAAGCAAGATCTCAAGTTATTCTGCACAAAGTGTAAAGGAAATAAGAAAGTAGAGTTACAGGAGAGCAGTAATTGAGATCCTCTGAAGTTTTTAGAATTTTACGTAAATAAATCAAAAAATGGGTGCAGCTGACATTTCTGAAGAAATACAAATTTAAGAACGACTTACTCTTATTTAATTTTTTCTGCGCCATTGTAAGAGACAAGAGAATTGTGAATTGTTATTGTGGAATTGTTATTGTAAAAAATGTAAAAATTGTCTGATGTTGATAAATGTGTCGTTGCGTTATCTCCAATCTTTGTAAAAAAAAAGGATTGCAAAAACTGATTTCTCTGCTTAATAGAGGGCGGCAAAAATTTTCCAAGTATTTTACTTGAATTTTTTAGCCATTTTCATTTTTATTCGCTTATTTCCTGCGTAATTGTTCGAGATTTAAAAAAAGAAAGCTTTTGTAAACGTATACATGGCGGACCGGGAGGGGTACTTGAGAGGAGGAAGGGGTGGGGGGGGGGGGGGAGAGAGAAGCAGGTGTTACCACGAAATAGTGATCTCTTTGATCTCTTTTTTGCGTGTGAGTGGTTGAAATAAAATTTTGGAAAATTCTCAAATTTAAATTAGCTTTGCAAAGGATTTTTTGAATGTTCTAAAATTTTTCCAGGGTTATAGGCGCTTGCTAAAAAGTTGAGAAGCATCTCAAAATAATTTCTGAAGGGCTCCCTCCCCCCTCAGACCACACAAATGATACTTCTCGAGCAGCTAATAAATTCTGATCTCTTCGGGGAGGAAAACGTTGCCCTGTACTTCCAAAACCTTCTAGATCTACTTGTCATGATCAATATTAAATTTGATAACTTCCAAAAGGATATTCAATAAAAAAATTATTTTGGTAATTTGATATCGCAAATCAGGTAGGAACGGACGATTATCATATTACAGTTTTCGCTGTCCCAGCTGCACAAACGATAAACAATAAACAAGCTAAAGCAAACACGCCTGTAAAGTGGTGGCTAGTAGAAGAAAAGAAAAATAATTCCAGCCATGTGTGTGTGAAATTGGAGGACGATACCTATGAGAACACACTCTTTTCGTACTATTTACACAACGGCTAGGTGTTTTTTTCCACTTAGGACAATTCTATTCCCTCGTAACGCAGCATCACATTCGTCAACGTAGACAACTGGTTTCTTCACTCTGTCTTAGGGATGAATACTGTACGCAAAATTACAGACAGAAAAACGAAGGGAGAGAGGCTGAGAAGGCTGAGAAGCGAATTACTTCAGACGAAGCGGCGAAAGAACCACTTCACGGTGCCAAATTGCCGCTAATTAGTCGGACCTCGTCGTTTCTTTTGTTTCACGGCGATTCTCTGACGTGTTGTAAGATCTATGGAGAGCTGTGATTTAGAAGAATGAAAGAATTCCGTGGAGTGTGCCCAGCTTCTAACGTCGGAGATTTTATTCGGATTTGTGCACTTTTGAATGATGCCTTTTGGGGCAGTTCTCTCAATTCGCAAAGTCGCGCAAAAGTTCCGTTGCGTTGATGGATTTGTGAATTTGCGTACATTGATCATTCGAGCGAAAATGCAGAAAAAATGTCCTACTTTGTAGAATGTTCGCTGATGTTGTCCTGGTTTGCTTGTACATACACTCGGTCAAGCATGATTCTGTTTAAAGTCACAAATGAAAGTCAAAAGCAGAGATGGGACGAGGAGGGAGGGAAATATGAAAGAAAGAGAAAAAATGAAAAAGATAGAAAATAATGCTGGAAAAGTTCTTGAAAGGAACGCATGTTTTTAACGTATCAATCATACCTAGATGTTGCGAGTTGCCTTTGCAACATTTTTCTCTTAGAGATTGTATCTAAATCGAGACTGATCAAGGCCATAAAATTTTTAGACAAAGAAAAATCTAAATAGCGGATCAGCCTCTTCATTACTTAATTGATTGCAGTTTGCGACATGAATACAGTGAAAAATAAAAGCACAATACCTAGAGAGGAAGTTTTTTTGGATACATAGGTTGTTCGGAAAATGTAAAAAAAAAGTAAAAAAAGTAATCTAAAAAGTAGCGGCACCGTCCATCCAGATTCTCGACTTCCAGATTTCTGTCATCATTAGGGCCTTCTTATGTCCCTGATTCCGAACAAGAGTCGAGAATCCGCGAAAACCACAACAATCCCGTTCCTGAGAACCTGCAGGCCTGCTTTCCGGAACGGTGATTGGCTGGGCGTGCACGTATGGGCGGGCATGGATGGAGAAGGCGGTGCCGTCTGGGGGTCTTCGCGCATCTTCCTTATCCCGGAACAATTTTCTCGCTCCCGGACTTGTTTAATTGTATTTTCTTCTGAATATACGGAATTTCTGACTCCTGCGGAGCATTGGGGAGAAGGAGGAGCTAGGAAAGATTGATAAAAGGGGAATGGATGAGGATAATGAGAAGCCGTAGGCAAGAATCTGTGACAACGGAAATGCTTTTTATCGATACATAAAGAATGAAAAAGCAGTTCAAGAATTTCTGTGACAGAAGTTTTTTTTGTAAATACAAGCAGTGAAGATTAGCGCCATTTCGCTAAATTCTCAATTTCATGACGAAAACGCACGATTGAGCCCGAAATATTACTAGAGTTGAGCTCGTAACTTCTAACAAGGGAACGATCCCAACTTAAGGTGGCGAGCTGGAATGAGCTGCATATCATCAGATGCGTCTTGATGAGCTGATTCCAAATCTATCTTCCACATCTGCGATGCCGCTATCTGGAAAAAGTTATGAGCGTTTGAAAATGTAAAGTCACGGTGGTTTTAATGCATAATACGCTATCCAACCTGGAAATGCATGACTAGCATATAGTGAGTGTACTGATTTCAAGGAATGCTCAGATTTGAAGAAAACACTGATATGTGTTTTTGAACAACTAAAAAAACTAAAGTTCCTTGGTAAGAGCTGTGAGCAATGAAAAGTCCAAATTTGACAAATACACATATCTCAAGCATTAGTATCAAAAAAATTTTTTTGTGTTTTCTCCAAATGTGAACATTCCTTGAAAGCGATACACTCAATATCATGCTAATCGTTCAATTTCAAGTTGAATTTTGAAGCACATAACGCATCGAAACCTCAGTGGCTTGACATTTTTGATCCTTCATAATTTTTTCCGGATAGCTGCATCGCAGATATGGAAAGGTAGATTTGTGATCAGCTCATCAAGACGCATGTAATTATATGCGGCTTATTCCGGTTCGCCACCTCAAGTTGGGATCGTTTCCTTGTAAGAGAAAAACTTGGGCTAAATTTATCCTTCGGACGTTTCAACGTCTAACGACGAAACGCTCGGAATGTTTTAATTGTTTAGGCTATTCCTGGAAGGTAGTGTGTAATCACTAAACTGAATCATCTGCGAAAAAAAAGCTTCAACATAATCTGTGTTCTCAAAAACTAGAAGCTCAATTGTACATTAAAGTTGACTATGGAGCAACGTTGGCAGAATTACAGTTTTGAGAACCAATCGGCTTTTAGAAGTTGAAAAGCTTTATTGATATTTGCAATAAGGAAAACATAAAAAGAGAGTGTTCTGTTTGTTTGAGATAAGAAGATGTGAAGATTCGTTTGCAAGTTACAAGCTTCAACTCTTCGTCGTAATTTCTGTTGCATGGTATTAGTCAACGTGGCTAGTGTTTTTGACATTCTTCTAGCCGGAGTAAAATGGACGAGCACGATGGCGCGGATAATTGGATAGAAATATTCCATATATGTGGGTGGCGCCTTTACGGCATCGCTAACGAATTTTGTTGACTATGAGAGACAAGACGTGGCAGTACGATTGCTTTGGTAATAATAGTTGCAGCAAATAAAAAAAATTAAAAATGTAAACACTTTATTAACGAATCATTACGCTGAAAAAAACCATTTTTCCAAAAATTCCAACTGAATGTAAAGCACAGTTTTGTACAGTAGCATCCGCTTTCTTACTTTCCATACCAATACGGTGATTGATCTGCATAGCCCCAAACTCCGTTGTAGTAAGGTCCTGCAAGGAAGAAAATCATTAGGCGCTGTAGCTCGTCCTAAGACTACGAAGAAGCTATAGGTAATGGTAAGTTGGCAAAGTGGATAAAATTTGAGTGAGGTATTGATTTAGAGAAGTAGGAAGAAGAGAAGTGAAAGGCAAAAATATACGTAAGTTTTATATGAGAACAGAAAGTTCAAAAAGAAATCGGGCGGCATGAGAAATCGCCATTTTTGTCAGAAGAGTGAAATCACGAGCAACTTCTTGTAGGAAATTCACATTTTGATTTCATTTACAGTTTTTCTATTGAGGCTCAGTAATAACCCACCAAATCTCTCTTGCTGTAAGATTTCGAAATTTGTGGGAGCAGGAAGTCCATATTTGTTTTTGTGGAATGAAATTTCGTGATAATAGTTACGGTAGGTTGCATGTGTGTACAGTGGCGGAAGTCCACTGTTGTAAAATTTGTCCCTAAAAAGAGAGTATACCGAATATTTTTTGAGGACCATGATATTCAGGAAAGCACCTGTAATAGCCAAAGCTATCGACTCCTATATTGGTAGGACCGATTCCATGTCGGCCATATCCATAGTTGTTTGTAAAACCATTGCGTTTGACCCTGAAAATTACATGAAAAAAGCCTAGGCTTTTGAATTTTGTACATTCAGGCTGCTCCTCAAGTTCTGTCCGATATGAATTTTCGAGTTCAAAATATCATAACTTCTTTCAAAATCAACTTTTTTCCACAATCCTAGTTTCCGTATGCAGTTCTTTAACTATCAGAGAAATACTAGCTCTTGTGAAAAAACCTGTCAAAGAAGGAACAAGAACTTAAAAACTTCATAACGTTCTTCTTCAAACCTATCTTCTTTGACATGGCAATCCTCTTATAAGAACTATTAGGCATATCCGGCAGCCATGGGTAGATAAAGAAAATTTTGAAGATTATTCTACAGCCTAAAAGTGTCCATAGGATTTTCGGTACCGAGAGATTTTTTTTGAATAAAAGCAAAGGCGTTTTCAAACCTCGTTTTAGTACATGTATCATGCCACCTTTCAAATTTAAAAAAAAATTCTGCACTTGAGGGGTGGAAAGTAAGTGATGGCTGGGGTCTGCTAGCTATTGCTTTACTCTAGTACGTCCAACATCAGACTTATCGATTGCCTCTATTCACAGGAAGTTATTGCTTGTAAAACTTTTGTACAAATGATTATTGTTCATCAGCAAAATTTACTAGCATGACGTTTCTTTACATGAAAGTAAAACTGTGCACACACTGGACTGTTTTACACTTATTCTGTGACCAACATAAGGACTTGACTTAGAAAGCATATTGTGGAGAGTTTCCAAGAACTTTTTCTTAGTTGAGAACTGTCTCGATCATCTGGGGATCATAGGCCTGCAATCTTGTCAGATTGTCGCTTTCATTTAAATTATGATAGGTGTTAAAAAAAGCAAGAGAAATGCTTTCTGATGGTACAAATGAGATCGCATTGCGATTGAAAGTCTCCTAGAACGGCTGCTTCAAACATTAAGCAAAGAAAATCGGACAGAACTTATGCAGCAGCCTAATATTGTAAGGATACCTTAGTTATTCAAGATTAGAACATTTTACTGGATTGATCCATTTCCTCCGTGTATGACATTGAATTTTGATTTTTGAAAAGATTTATTTACATACATTTCACCCCTAATAAAATTTACTTTTCAGTAATGAAAATAAGTTTTACATGCCTTCCTTCCTTACTGAGGATTTCCGGGGGAGGTCTTTGAATACTTTTACTCCGTCTAAGAGCAGGAACGAAACGAAGTCTTTCGGTTGTTACCACATTGTAAATTGAAAACCTTTTATTCTTATTATAAAATCAAAAAATTATGAGATTCCCTCGAGGAATATGACCGAATTTGCGTTTGATGTACTCGAATCGGATAATTTCACAGAAAAATTTTTTTGTGAAAAACTTTTTTGGTAAAACAAAAACGTTTTCGAAACATTCACAGATTATATCTTTACTGCCTCGTTCAGAGACAACATAAAAAATGAAATGCGATATCGCCAATAGTTTATTTTGAAAGAGGTTGCGTTCAGCAATTAAGATCCTTCTCGCGATAAGAGGGCTGCCTTTTTTAAAAACGAATATTTCACTAAAATGCTTGATGGTCCGACGTTTCGTGTGGAAAAGAGAAAATAAAGAAAAAAGGGGGAAAAGCTAAATGAAGACCATATGCTTAATTTTTTTTTCAGTAAACTTCAATTTGCTAAGAACCCCATTGCTTATGGTCAAATTCCGCGCATAGTTTCCTCTGACAAAAACTAAGCTTAGAACAAGTTTATTCAAATTTATAAATGAAAGTGCACAAACCGTACGATCGCCGAAGACGAAAGGGACAGGGTTGTGATTAGAATAATGATCACTTGCAGCATTGCGCAACAAGTGAATGATTTCCGCTGATGTCACTGACGAAATCATGTTCTCATCTCAATGGAACAGGCTTTTTTGGCTACAAGTGGTGATATGCTATATGTCAAAGCGAAGCATGCCATCGCTTCATGGAAAATAATATAATATTAGGGTGATCCGAAAGCAAGGGGGTACCTTAATTTTTGAACATTTTTACAGGTTTTTTGATTAACTTTTTGATAAACGTCCAGCAATTTGAAAGCTTTTGTAAAGTGACCTTTGCAGGTTATCCTGACAGCACCTTGCAGCACCTTGAAGGCAGCGTCCAGGCAGATCCGAGCTCGACGACCACGCCCACTTCCCTCGGACGGCCAACCCCTTATGAACGAAATCTTCTCAGCCTTGACATGTTTTCACATGACCAACACAGTCGAACTTACAGCGTTTACCTGTTAATACTTGCTTTCGACAAGGATAGCATCAGAAGCACTCGTCCGGGTTTTCCCAAAATAGCCCCTAGAAGTGGTTTTCTGAGAAATTCACGCTTTTTGAATTCCATATTCGGAATCAGCGCCATGGAAAGGCCTGGATAACATAAAAATATAGAAGTCGAGAATCTGCCTGGACGCTGCCTTTAACCACATTCCTTTGAGTGGCGCTTCGTTGAATTCGGACAGGCTTTTTTAAAGGGCATTCGAACTTGTGCTGCTGTACCTAGAATCAATCGAAAGAGCTTTTCAAGCGTTTTCCAATTATTATTTGGTTTTGATTTGGGCAGATTTTCAAACTATATTGTTTGAAAATGTGTTTTGGCCGTGTTTTGGCCCACAATTTTCTAAAAATGAGAAAAGTCAGGGTAAATTGTGTATATGTGTATAGACCGTAAAAAGCTCTATTGGATAGCCACTGTCAAGGGTAAGCTCATCTGCCTTGATGAGAGAATAAATAATATGCCTCCTGATACCCAATGCTATATCTTCTGTTGAGCGTTGGTGCCACCAGACTATCGTGGATTTGGTGACAATCCCTTCACCCCTTGCTGCGCAGATATCTTTGGTAGGCTCATTTGTTTTGTTGTGGCGGTGCTGCTCTTTCCAAATTACTGAAGTGATGAGCTTTGATTTCAAGTGCTTACAAAAATGACTCCTTATGACACTGCCCATCTGTAGACAGTGACCAGAAGGTTTTGTTGTGTACTAACAGCTACCAAAACCTGGCCTTCTAGATAGATTTTTTGTTTGAGAAAACTGCATTTATTCGCTAGGTGCCCCATTACTTTTAGGTCACTCCAATAGTTTCGAATTAAACGAAGAGCGTTTCATGACCATAAACTCATAATACTCAAAACGCGCAACTTTATGGAGATAGAGCAATTCCATTAGATCACTCGACTTTACAGATATAGAGCAACGTCTGTGATTCAGGCACTCTGAATATATTAGGTTGAGGTGGAATTTTTTTCGCTCAAAGGGAAGTCAGAACTTTCTGAATCTTATTGTTAGAATGAAACTTATCCTCATTTGAAATTAGTAGAAGAAAGATTTGCGCTCCAAGATATGTGTTTATTAGTAATTTTATATGAGCTGTGTCGAGAACAAAGCTTCTACATGCACTCTGAATTTTGCGATCCACTTTTTTGCCAAAAATTTGCTAGCTAGCCGGCCCTTTATAATTTGTAAACTTTTCACATAGCAGTAGTCCACACATCACTAGGCAGGCTTATGATTACTCTCTCAGGTTGTGTAATAACTTCGTCTGTTTTTTTTCGATCATTTTTTTCTTGTGATTTTGTGCGGGGTTTAGTAAAATGTGCATGTTCTTCTGAATGCTTTACCCGGCCCCGCCTCTCTGTCAAATTCTTTGCTTCATTTTTTCAAATTAGAGGACTTATAAAAATAAAAATTTGAAGTGTTAAAGATAAACGGTAACAGGATCCAAGACACAGTTTATGTAGCCTTTCAAATAGGTCAAAATGCAAAGTGACGATAAGTGGAGCCTATGCAATTTGATTCCTTCACAAGGGCTTTTGATCTGACTGTTACGATCGACGCGGCTCGGGTCCTCGCTAGCCGCTCCACTTGGCCATTCGACGCGTTCGCGAAGTTCTTGGATTATTTCAAGCTCGTTAGCCATTGATGCCGAGGGATAAGGATTTTCCATGCCATAAGCAAGAAGAAGTACCATATCCGCTGAGGAAGAACGCCGAGAACCCAAGTGAGGCGGGCCGTGGAATACGAGCCGCACCGACCGTGACACTCAGACTGAAAGTCCCTGTACATCTCTTTAACTTCGACTTTGAAGAGGAGAAGTTCTTGAGCAGTACGAACGCAGGAAAGATGGTTTACAATTAAGATTCGAATTTGTAAGTTCATTCTCAAGAATTGAATGTTTTGAGGGAACATGGTGTAAGGCAGTGACCATTGGTAAAGTTCGTTTATTTCGGATGGCAGGTGCAGTGGTGATCTTGGCTGCCTGCCATAAGCGAATCAAGGCTTCCGGTTGCGCGAAGTGTGTTTACATTAAAACCCAGAGAAAAATCTCGTAAGTTGCTTGTGAGTAACATATTTGACGCGTTAGTTGGCATAATGCCATAAACGATGAAGCAAAAAAATAGCATGATTTCGGCAGCTTAAAGACAGAAGGGATCAATGAACAGCTGAGATCTTACAAGGGAAGGATACTTGTTCGAAGTGGCGTTTCCACATGAGACGTAGATTGTCTCATGGAGCATTGAACGCCAATTCCAGATCTGTTTTCGGTATCCGCAAAGCGCTTCTGGGAGGGGAGTTATGGGAATTTTTTGAGGAAGAAATTCAATGATTCGGTAAGATGAAGATAGGTGTTGAGGTCTTTTCGGCGGTTGGAAGGAGTAATGACTGACACTAGTTAATTAAATTAAAGGCCTTATTCTATAAAACGCCCTGCTAGTAATCATGGCCCATTTGAGCTCACGGAAAGAGGTTCTGAAATATTTTGTTATAGCAGCGCTTTTAAATTTTTGCATCAAAAAATCCCCATAACTCCCCTCCCAGAAATGCTTTGCAGATACTGAAAGCGGTTTGAACTCAACGTTTCACGCTCTGCAAAATATTGTACATTTTATATGGAAAAGCCACTTCGACCAAGTATCCATCCCTTGTTAGACACAAAAAAAGGAAAGAAGGTTCCTTGCAGAAAATGCATTTTCGTTCTTTGAACTGAGCAGAAAAATAAGGTGAGAATTCACCTTTTTATTAGGTCATTCCGAAAATTCGTAAAGCTTCCATTTTCGTCTTCTTGTCTTTGAGAGCGTTTGTTTTGCGGCATAATACGTATATTATTGAGAAGAGCTGCCCTTTACAGTGAACTTTTCACTTTGGACGTAAAGCTAAATCACCTAATCTTTTGAAGAAGCTGTGCATAGATGTTGACCAAACTAGGAAATTGGCGCTCATGTCAGAGACAGGATTGGATTGCTTCAAAAGATTAAGGGTTGAACAGTTGTTCCCTAGATAGGACTTTGCGGGAAATGAAAAATGGGGACGGAAGGGCTGAAAATGATGAGCAAGAGCAAAATACCGACCATTTCTTCACAACTTGCAATCTAAACGAATCTCTAATGCAGAAAATGCATGATAAACAGGTCCAACGAGTTTCTGCATGACGAGATAAACGAGGCAAACGTCGTCAAAACTGTCCTCGAAACTCAAATGTTTGGCAAGAAAGTTGTGCGCACAAAGGCACATATCTATTTTATCAACTAAAGTTTGATAAAATTATGTCACTGTGCTGTTGCGAAAACTCAGAGAACTTATGAGACGACCTAATTTATATTTTCCAACCCTGAAATTATTTACTGTATTTATGTCAAGATATTTGATTTTATCTACACGTTTGTTAGGTAAAAGCTTTGATAGCGGTCATCATCCATTCTTGATGAGCCCTAGAAGCAAGCTGACTTAGCTAAAAGAAAGAGCAAGTGCTCTCGAACCATGCTCCTGTTGCTAAAAGCGCAGTGTTTCCATTCGTCCAAACCTGCACAGACTTGTTTTTTCTTTAAGGAAGGTAAATGGTTTCCCTATCTACATAGTTGTCCGCACCGACATGGATGGCTCAGTTGACAGGCTGAAGCTTCTCAGTTGAGCTGAGGGAAGATACCTTGCCACGATGACAGAGGTTCACTATGGGACTACGCGACTCAATTTCTTGTTACCCCCTTGACTGGACTCGAGCCCTAGATGCAGGGAAAGACATTGATGTTATTTATCTAGATTTCAATAAAGCATTTGATAAAGTTTCGCACGTTAAGCTGATAGTTAAGTTGAAAATGGTTGGAATTCATCCTAGTGTCGTATCTTGGATACAGGCCTTTTTGCATGAACGTTCATTCATGGTCCGGGTTAATGAGGCTTTCTCTACTCCTAGACCCATGTTGAGTGGCGTACCCCAAGGTGGGGTCCCTTCTCCGATACTGTTCAATATATATACTTATGAGCTTCCTGATCTTGTACTGAATGCCGCTGTTTCTTGCTGTGCCTTCGCTGATGACTTCAAGATCTACAGTACCAATTCTGACCGAGGTGATAACGAGGAATTACAGGGGGCTCTAGATCTTGTGGTTAGATAATCGGAAGACTGGCTCTTGCCCATCTCACGTGAGAAAACGAAGGTATTGTCTATAGGGCCCAATTCGGTTGACTATTCCTACATGATAGGGCACGATGTATTTGAGCATGTAAATGAAGTAAATGACTTGGGTTTCTCGATTAATAGCCAATTAACTTTGATAAACACTGTCAGTCAATTGCTGCAAAAGGAGTTTTTGCTGTTTACAACTTGTTTAGAGCCTTCATGACAAGTGATGTTGATTTTCTATTGCGAGCTTATAAAGCCTATATCAGGCCATTACTTGAATACGGGACTGTTGTTTTTAACCCTTGTAAGAGTAAGAGTATTCATGTTTTAGAAAAAGTCCAAAACAGCTTTACCAGGAAACTACTGGTAAGGAGGAATGGGTTCATATATGGCCGCTTTCCCAATTACACCTTGAAAAATAATAAGTTTGGTCTTGAGACTCTTGCCGCTAGAAGGCGCGTATTTGATCTGGTTATGGCTCATAAGGTTCTGTTTGGAAGCTGCAAACTCAATGCTTCAGACTTTGTTGAGAGGAGAAATTCCATAACTAGAGGAGGTCCGAGTAAGCTTGTTTTACAGCGACCCAGGAGAAATGTGAGGAGGGTTTTCTTTGTTAACCAGTTACTCGTGACATTGATAAGCTTATCAGAAAAAACAGCTTTCCTGTCAAGTTGGCACAATTTCGAAATATCCTCAAGAGCTATCTATCTTCCCCTTCGTAGTAATCTTTTTTTTCCTAGTTCTAATTTCCTTTATCATGTTTGAATGTTTGTTATTATTGATTACCGCGTTTGGTTTGTTATTGTTGGTCGAGTTGTTATTTGTTTCGTTTGTTGTGTTATTCGCATAGGTGCGCCTATGTAATAAATAATAATAAAAACGATGAGAACAGGCCTTTTCCTCGAGGCGGCTCCACCGGATCCTGTGATTGATAGCGTCGTAATCAGCATGCTCACTTACTCCCTTGTGTCAAATCCCACCTCGTAAATGAAATTTTGCAAAAAATCGATAAAATTGATGTTGATCAATGACGAAAAGTGGCTTGCGACACCCGCCCACCTCGCAGTATATGTGTGCATTTTGCTCCGAATTTGTTCAAAAATGAAAATTTCTATTCGGAACGTACATACACAGACATGCATGCATGCGGACATAGAAACAGGCATTTAGCTCAATTTACACTGATTTCGATAAGCGGAAATTTTCCTGCTCAGGCCACGACGGAGTCGCTGTGGGGCCTGTGATCTAAACTGCAGTGACCTACGCACTTTACCGCAAGCATGGGTATTGAGCCTTTTTTACCGCGCCATTCAGATAAGGGGGCTGAAGTATTCTATTTTCAAACATATAATACGATGTTTTTGTTTCTGGCACCAATTAGTAAGAGCTAGATGAAGTCTTAAGTTGAACTATCACCTAAATTCTGTAAGCATAGACTGTTGCATGATGAAGGCACAATAACTTTGGACGCGGACGCAGCTCTATTAGCCGCAGAGCGCATGAGGCGCAAGATTTACAACGACTAGGATAAGCGCGCGCCGCGTTCGTGCCCGCTCAATACAGCAACACTCTACTAATATACTTCTGCGTCTTTGTCATGCAGTAGCCTTTGTGTATGTTACTGCCTGCTTTTGTCAATATCTCATTTATCTGGTCACAAGTCAAAAAAGAATGAGCAGCGGCTCGATGCGGATGGTGCGCCTCTGCGATAAGCATCGCGAAGTTAAAATGGACTTATTAGCGTGATTAAGTGATAATTCATTAACTTACCAATTATACAGGGTGTCCCAAAAGTAAGTACACACTTTTCAATCGCCAATATTTCTCTTCCCTATGAGTCTCTGCCAGTCAAGTACCATTCTGTGGAGGCTTCAACTTAGATTTACAGTTTCGAGCGAATCAGCATCGTCTTTCGTTACTGTGGGATCACGGTAAGAAATTCCAGCATGTGGAATCATTGAGAAATATGCCATCTGACAAAATTTTTTCAAAAATTCTGAAAAACTGTGTACTGGGGTTTTCGCGCACTCTGATTCGACTACACAACTTTTTACGAGTGTTTTCAGCTTTTTTGACGGTGCAATCACATTTCTGACAAATACTGGGATTTCGGTTATTACGGTTTACCTGTGATAACTTTGGAAAGAAGCATCACAGTAAAATGGGAATTTCAAATTCGAAATCAGCGGTTGGGTAGTATAAGAGTTTTTGGCTTGCTCGGTTCTGTTCCAAGGCAGAATATATTACCCAATGGCCTAAAATCCTTGTCGAAGTTCCTACGGTAATCCTACAGTAATGAGTGGCGATCGGTGATTCGCTCGATACAGTAAATCTAAGTGGAGTCTCCTCTATAGGTACTTAAAAAGGTGGAAAAAGAAGCAAAATGAAGAGAGATATTAATGATTGAAAAGTGTGTACTTACTTTTGGACACTCTGTATATACTTGTAGAAAGCTTGCGAGAGGTGATTACTTATTTATCTGATAGTGTAGTTTTGTTGGCCATCGTTGTTAACTCTTGAGAGAAATTTTATAACATTGTCAAAATCATTTCTTTGTTTTAAGAGCTCTCAAATGTTCAGACCAAGGTTTAAATTTCGAAGGAACTCCATCTCAGCTTCACCTGGGCATTTGTATCTGATGAAAATCACAGGACTGAAGTTTTTCATAACTTGCACTGCAAATCCGCTGACCTTAAAATAAACAATGAAATGTTTGAAATCTCAAATTTCTCCCTGCAAATGTTAGAACAAGCGTTCGAAGTGTCGAGTTTTCACATTTTGGAGACATATTTTCTCGATGAGTTCTTATCGTAAAAAATAGTGTGCAATTATAAAACGTAATTCGTCCTCACCTCTTGGCAGCTAGGAGTAGTCACGTTATAAATAGCTGTGAAGAATCCATCTACTTCCTTTGTTTCCTTTTTGATGATTTTCACATTAGAAGCATTCATATTCGTAGCTTCAGTTATCTGAGTAAGTAAATTTTTTGCTTGCTTACTGCGTACAGATAGCCACTACTTTCTGAAGAACCACTCTCTCTGTATTATTGTTCTTTCGGTCATCGTACACAAAATCGGTGACGACTGTGATGCCAGTTTCAATTTCTCCTGACGAAGCCTAAAAAATGGATTAGGTATCGGTAATACTGTGAGCTTACTTACCTCTAAAAAGACAAAAATAATTGCAGCTAAGAACATTGCGAGAAGATGTGCCATCCTCACGAATCTATCCTCAGCGAGGTATACCTACTGTTTGTACTATTCATAATTTTATTTCATAAAATTAGTTTGACAAAGCTTTGTCCTTGTTCGAAACTCTCTGAATAATGTGTATCTTGAGTGGAACTCTCTTAAAGCTATACGTTGGGGATTTTTCATACCTTTCCTTACATAAAACGCATCTTTTCCAAATTACTGAGAGGTCAAAGTATCAATCAGCAGCTAATTTGAAACAATTAATATTACAGTACCACGATCTGTTTTTTCTGAGTATGCAAATGTTGGCCAATGTAACAACTCTAAAAAGAACTACCATTTTTTGAAGGAAGCATCCAGAAAAGATCCATTTTTCGGAGTTTTCCTTACGGCTTTCAAAGATGGTCAAAAATTCTTGCCCCCAAACATTTATCAATTTGAGATCTCATGGTACATTCATTTTCTCCAACAGCAGCCTTTATTCGTTTTGTTGTAAAACATCTTTATCACATTTCATCTTAGCAACCTCCGAAAAATATAGAGATACAATTCTACGTATTCTGTTGAGCTCTTTATCTAGCCCGTTTCATTAATGTAATCATTGAGTTCATTATAGAAAGGTCTTTTGCAATTATCAACTGGAAAGCAGCGTTCGGGCAAATTTTCGACTTCCGTGTTTTAGTCGTTTTCGGCCTATCTCCGGTCCTGATTAGTCAAAGCGCAATCGTGAAAACTCCCAGAATCCCCGCTGAGCGCCCAAATTGTTGAGCGCAAACGAGTGTTCTGGCGCTAATCCGGTGGTGCAACATGGAAACGTGTATTACAGATGTTTGGCCTGCATCTCTTGCATTTGTTACATGAAAGTGGCGCATGCAGCCGGTAAGTTCGTCCCACACGTGAGAGGAAGAACACGAGGAGAACAGAATGGGCTAAAGGAGCAGCTTCAAAATCGTATTTGAGGCTTCAGAAACCGCATCTTTAGGCGAACTTGATGATTTGTTATAATTGAATCGGTCCCCAATCAATTGTATCAACATTTCAGAAAGGCTGATTATGCCCGAACGCTGGAGACTGGCTAGATCTTTTATTCTTCGAACAAACACTGTTTGTACTCTTACTGTAGATGTAAGTTGTGAACGTATTTTATCCATTTATCATACTCGACTATACCCACAAGTATAGACTCTAAAATAAACTTGTTTATTAATTGACTATCTGTTACTTTAGTGAAAATCTGACTTCCTTACAAACAAAAGGATATGTCGCTAGATGTAATCTACAAAAAGTGTGTAAAAAACTTGCTCTTGGTCGAAAACTATGATTTTTTATACAAATTGAGAAGATGTTTCAGTGTGAGAGTTTGCACCGATCGGGCAGGCCAAAGCATCGTGATATCGCACGCATACAGCGCTTCCGGCATTTGCTCAACGCATTGTCGGAGAGGTCGAAGAGGAAGACTAAGGAGTAAGTTCTAGCTGGACGCCCTATAGCAAACCCTAAATGTAGCGAGACTATAGTGTTCCATGCTAAATTTCCTGTTCTGGATTTGAAAAGAACCATATCTTCTAAGAAGGGAACGATCCCAATTCAAGGTGACGAATTGGAATGAACCGCATATCATTAGATGCATCTTGATGAGCTAATTCCAAATCTACTCTTCATATCTGCGATGCCGATCTCTGCAAAAAGTTATGAGCTGTTGAATTGTGAAGTTATTAGGGTTTCAACGCATAATGTGCCTTAAAATCCAACTTGCAATTGTATGACTAGCATGATATTAAGTGTACTGATTTCAAGGAATGCTCACATTCAAAAGAAACACAAATGAGTGTTTTCAAACAACTAAAAAGCAACTAGTTCTTTGGTAAAAGCTAAGAGCAATGAAAAATCCCAATATGGCAAACATACAACGCCATACCTCGAGAATTAGCTTTTCAAAAGCATTTACTTGTGTTTCTTTTGAATGTTAGCATTCGTCGAAATCCGTACACTCGATATCATGCTAGTCATACACTCCCAAGTTGGATTTTGAAGCACATCATGCATTGAAACCCTAATGACTTCACATTTTCAATCGCTCATAACTTTTTGCAGAGAATGGCATCGCAGATATGAAAGGTAGATTTGGAATCAGCTCATCGAGGCGCATCTAATGACGTAATCATTCCAATTCGCCACCTTAAGTTGGGATCGTTTCCTTGTAAGTCTTTTTTGGACGTTTCAGAAAAATTGCCAGATGGTGGAAAGATGGTTTGGCCACATTGATTCTAATTTTTTGGAGCTTGAAAGCATGTGGAGTGGGCGCCATTGTCGAAATGGTTTTGAAGGCGATAATTCAGATCGGGAGAGTAAGTCATGAAATATGCGACGTGAAATGTAGCATCGCTAAAAAGCTTGGTAATTAGAAGCTGCTTCTATTAGGTTGTAACAGAATTAATGCAGGTTTTGAATTCCAACCGCAATAAGTCATACATTTCTCATTTCTAACTAGGTTGCAAAGTACCTTTCGATAGAGCAAAGCAAGCTTTACAAGATGGCTATCTTGTTTTAGCGACAACTCTGATCCACCACGAGTTTCGAGCCAAAAACTAAAAAGATTCAAGTGTCCGAAAAATTGAGAAAAATCGTAACTCAGTTCATAAAAACCTACAAAAATTCTAACTTGCTCACGTAAACACTATTCACATAAGACATCTATACACGCCTTTGCCGTATTTTTTTCTCTGTTAGAAATCAAGAAAACGGAAATTTTCGCGCGTTTGCCAAAGTGATGCTGTGCCGTTCCCACATAAGTAGTTGTATACTACAAAGCTGTAGAAGTACAAACGTAAATTTTCAGCTCTCTATAAGCTTTAGTTCTCGAGAAATTTGAATTTTAGCTTAGACCACATGACTAGCGAAAACTGTATTCGATATTTTTCGAGAACTAAAGCTTGTAGAGAGCTGGAAACTCACGTTTATACTTCTACAGGTTTGTAGTACACAACTACTTATGTGAGAACGGCACAGCATCACTTTGGCAAACGCACGAAAATTTCCGTTTTCTTGATTTTTAAAGAGAAAAAAATACGGCAAAGGCGTGTATAGATGTCTTATGTGAATAGTGTTTACGTGAGCAAGCTAGAATTTTTGTAGGTTTTTTTTATGAACTGAGTTACGATTTTTCTCAATTTTTCGGACAGTTGAATCTTTTTTTTTGGCTCGAAACTCGTGGTGGATCAGAGTTGTTGCTAAGGCTTTGGCCATACTTCGCCCGTGTTGCCGGTGTTGAAAGTGTTGCCGGTGTTGAAAGTGTTGAAAGTGTTGAAAGTGTTGAAAGTGTTGAAAGTGTTGCCAGTGTTGAAAGTGTTGAAAGTGTTGCCGGTGTTGAAAGTGTTGAAAGGAGATCATCAGTCTAGCAGTTTCATTCTTTCTCGAACGATCTCACCGGCTGGTGAATACGTTGGAAATGGAATTGGGGAATGAGAAATGAAACTGAAATGAGATGGGGAATGTTTTCGCATGCAAAAGATCCTCAAAAAAACTTTTTGAAAAGTAAACGGCTTGTCTGGAATAGGAAAACGCTGCAAACCTCACTTAGGTCCTTTACTCACTAATCGCAAGCGCGGCAGGATTCGAACTAAAACACACATTACTACTCAGACTTCAGGTTTTTCAAATATTGGAGATTGCCCATTCCAGACAAGCCGTCCACTTTTCAAAAAGTTTGTTTGAGGGTCTTTTGCATGCGAAAACATTCCCCATCTCATTTCAGTTTGATTTCTCATTCCCCAATTCCATTTCCAACGTATTCACCAGCCGTTGAGATCGTTCGAGAAAGAATGAAACTGCTAGACTGATGACCTCCGTTCAACACTTTCAACACTGGCAACACTTTCAACACTTTCAACACTTTCAACACCGGCAACACTTTCAACACCGGCAACACGGGCAAAGTATGGCCAAAGCCTAAAGCAAGATTGCCACCTTATAGAGATTGCTTTGCTCTATCGAATGGTATTTTGCAACCTACTTAGAAATGAGATGTGTATGACTTATTGCGGTTGGAATTCAAAACCTGCAATTCAATTCTGTTACAACCTAATAGTAATGACATGTAGGTATTTTGGGTAAAACGTTGCAAAAAAAATTCTCGCAAATCGAGGTGGCTTAGCTTTGAATTTGTGGACACGCGAAACGGGGTTCTGACTAGGTGGCTCTGAACAAAGAGTAAGACATTTAAAAGAAGGTGGCGAAATTTTACCAAAGACTTGTTCACTTTGTAACTAGTAATTTCAAAAAACATCAAGTTTGAGATGCTCTATGTTTATAGGTAGATGAAGGGCTAATCGCGTTAAGTGATAAAAGTGGAACGCATTATCACTTTCGCTAGCTTGAATATAAATGAAACCACTTTATTTCATACACAAAGGAAGTCTTCTAAAAGCAGTAGCCGCACACCTTAATGGAATTTTGAGCATGGTAGTTAATAGAAAAGCCTTATGAAACAGGGCAAGCAGGCTAAAACGCTATAATGCTATGTAGAAGTGTGACAGAACTGTATGCATATCGGTGCTATGAACATGATACAAAGGCGGAGATTGTGTTTTTTGCAGATTGCAAATCTTTGATTAGCTGACACCAATGCAGCGTAATTACTAAAAACAATGAAACCTTTTTACTAAAAGAACTGACCATATTCAAAATTAGAAAGTGTAGATCACTGCGTGGATGTTGCCATCCTATTTTTTTAGAACACATAAATTATGCTATCATATCTCCTTATTGTGAACGTTGGAGTCCTTACGTTTTTCGTGTGAATGAAGTTGTGGAGCAAAATACAACATGTTCTCTGAGCAAAACTGAAGCTGTTGTCCGTGTTCTATAGATCAGGCTGTGCACTAACATTTTTGAGGCGAGGAGAGTGGCGTCCATCAGTATGAAACGGCCACAAGCGAACGCCGCTGCGGATGTTTCATGATTAGGGGGAGGGGTTAAGAAAAATATATTGGGGGCCCCGGCCAGCTTCCCATACGTACCTCCGCGGCGTATACGCATCGCGCGCCAACGCGCGCTCTGTTGACGCTTTTCATCTCACTTGCGAACAAATAACATTTTTACGTGAAGATAGGGAATAAGAAGTGGAAACCCTCTAATCTCAGCTCGAGAAAAGCCTAAGAAAAAGAAAGCTTTCACAACTTTCACTAACATTTAGTTTCTAGTCAATCTCATGAATAATTGTATGATTTTACTAATTATGGGTGAAAATCGTAGAAGTTACAGAGGGGGCATTTCTGAAACGTTTTCCTTCGGTAGTCGTAATGAACCTGAGAAGTATAAGCCTCGAGGGCGTAATTGTACAAGAAGAAGCTTCAATGTCGCATCGAAAAGGAAGTAAAAGCACTTATACAAAACAAACCCATTCGGAGAGATGCTAGGTCCGTCATAGAAACTTTTGCAGACAGCTCTCAATAGAAAGCACTCAATCCTCACTACCGAGGGGGAAAAACTAGAACTTTTTGGATAAATGCTCCTCAAGAGCACTAAAGTTTGTAAAAGCTTTTGGGCATCAGCTGTCGGTCGCTTAACCCTAAAACAGAGAGATTACAGAAAAAACAAAGTCAGTAAAGCTAGAAAAACGCATAAAAACCAATAGAGGCGGGATGAAAAGCGCACTGAAGGCGTGCGCTGCGTGCGCGGCGCGGAGGCCATATGAGAAGCTGGCAGGGGTCCACATTATAATCGCGGTTTTTGTCTAAAGACTGTCATTATGCACATCGGCTCTGTGAATTGTTCGGCGTGGTTACCTATTACCATGGTTACCTATTTTTGCTAGGCATATTCTCTGTTTTATTTGGGTGAGTCCGAAGAGGCTCTCCCTCCATTGTACTCGCGCCGCGTTCACCAAAGCGTCGTTTGTCTATTTTCCAACGCCTAGGCATGGAAAAGGGTTAGAGGAGGGCTTCAATCGTTAACTGAGCGTTGAAAATTGGTCAGAGAATGTGGTGATCACGAACGCGTCGCAGAGGCATCGCGGCCGCGCCCGCCTCAGCCACTCGAGTCGGGCTCACTCCAAATGAAGAAGAGGGTACTTCATTCGTCAAAAACGTAATGATTTGGCCAACCTTCAGTCATATCGCGATAATAATTCGAAAGCGAAGCTGCACTGGGTTCTAACATCATTACTGAAAATTTTCACAATTGCTCTCTAATGTCTGCAGCTGTTCTTGCGTATAAGTTCGAAGACTATTCTTGATAGTAAAGAACAGTGCCGTGTATAAAGTGGCTGGCATATAAGCGCCAGCCGTCACCATTCTCTGAAGAGTACTTTTCAAACAAACAGTGGTTAAAGACTCGCTTACCCGTAAGATCAAGCACAAAATCGTCTACGGTTGGCATATTTCTCTTCCTAATCTCCAGTATCTCACTCATCGGTGTGTGTTTTGTGCAGGAATAAACAACGAAATCTGCAAAAAGCTTTTCAAGAACCTAATAGGTAAAAAAGTCCATCATGTACTTATAATTCTAATTTCAACTCAGCGATTTAAGGTTTAGTATCTTCGTGAATTCCAAGAAAGCTTTGCTACCGAGGAGGGTTGCATATCCTTTATTCGAGACGTTCCTCACGATTTGGCAGCCTTTCTAATGTTCATAGTGTTTCTATAACGATTGTAGGATATGTCATGTACATGATTCTTAACCCTTCTATCACTGAATCTCACAGAGTGTTACAATGTATTCATCAAACGTCTTTGATTCTTCCTAATCGCAATCATATGCCTATATCATATGTCTTACGTGGCACAACTTATTAACAATACATTACAGCAGTGTCAATCTGGCTTTTAGAAGGGACTTTGTGAAGCAACTGCTGTATGTTTCGAATTTTATCCTACAGCACTTAGCAATAACGATGTAATTCAGTAGCTCTAAACTATAATATATGACATATATCGAAAGAGTTTCAAAATGAGTCGATACAAAATGAGAGTGCTTCTTTTGCTACAGCCGCAGTGCGAATATATTGTTAAAAATGGGTGGCAGAATTCGATTAAACAAAGCATTCCATAAAGTAAACACCAGATATTGGTGTTAATTGTAACATACCGTTGATTCGTCGACCGCACGGACTGCTCAAACGCTGCGGACCACATGCGGAGCGGCCGAATTGTTGCGAGAGCACGACTTGTACAATGGCGAATTTGTACTGGGGCAGGCTTTTAGCTCGCGGTGCTTGCTCCGCAGTGATGTCCAGTCCGTGCGGTCAACGAATCGACTATACATGGAGTTTAAAGCTAAAATCTAAAACAGAGTGCCCCAAAATTAGATCTCAATCCAGAAGATTGCATCCCCTGCATAGTCAGCACGTGACATTCGCACACAATCCAATGTATGCATTTCGCGTTTTTTTTTTGATTAGGAAAAAATAACGGCCGATCGCAAATACAATACCAGTTTGTTTCGCATATGTTTTAGGACTTGCCCACATATGCAAAACAAGCTGGCGATTGTATTTGACGAAAGCATGAAAATCTTCTCTACCAGTTTGTTTCGCATATGTTTTAGGACTTGCCCACATATGCAAAACAAGCTGGCGATTGTATTTGACGAAAGCATGAAAATCTTCTCCCTGTTTGCACCCCAATCATCGAATGACATTTTGCACAAAAAACCGAAATAAGCAACATTTTTGCAATCTTATGGTATCTATCTTTGTTTCTTGACTTTTAGCCTCGAAAATTTTCTAGCAATTACATCTAAGTACTTTAGCGTCCACTGTAGGATAATGTCTGCTGTGTGATACCACGATTTCTGAAAAAAAATCCGGTAGCTGCCTTGTAGAGCTTGCTTTGCCCATTTGATATACTTTGAACATGTTCGATATTCACTCTGCGGCCGTCAGATAAGCGAAGCTTGTTACTTTTGCCAGTTGTGTGTTACAAAAATATCTTATTGTTAGAAATAATTTTCTGATTCATTTAGGCGATCGATGTGAGTTTGAAACAAACGTTTCTTGGCGCATTTGTTAGAGCAGCCACAACTGACGTTTCAAGTGGAATGAAGTCGGTCAGATTGATTAAGATAGCAATTATGAAATCGTAGATTATGGGCACATGGGTGGAGGACTATATGCCGCCGGAAAGGGGCTGCCTTCGCGGTCATTTGCGACAATAGGCATCCTTGTATATGCGCGGACATGCGTTCCTGCAGGAAATCCGCGCGGGACTCTTCCAAATTCGGCGACATATAGTCCTCCACCCTGGGCACATCATTGAGGGAAGAAGCAGATCTGACGCGGTTTTATCAATCTCCTGTCAGGGCCCAGCACGAGGAAGCATGTGATTCAAAGACGAAGTCCCCTTGCATTTTAGAAAATTAGAGATCCATTTTATAGTGTTCGTGAAAGGTATTCTAATAATATACAATGAAAAAAATGGATTGAAGTGAAGAGAAGAAAAGAACAAATCGAAAACTGTAAAGCGAAATGAAAGGCTGCTTTTATATAATTAAGAGCCGTAACAAAGCATAGGAATGAATTTTGAATCGAGGTGAGTACTCGTAGGTAGAGCTTGATCTAAAGAATAGACTTACGTAGAAAAATTTAGAAATTTATGTGAGGAATGGGGAGAAGTGTGAAGATTCATAACTTTATCTGGTCAATAAAAAAAGAACCTCAGGTTGCTCTTACTCAGATAACCGCCGGGGGCAGGCGGCCATGCGAATTTTGAGCAAGCGCGCACCGGAAAAATAGTTCGTTGATTTTCTGCGGCCCGCTTGCAGAAATTTGGAAGAAAGTTGGCGAAATTAAAGACGAATGCTTGAAGAACAATCGCGGTTTCTTTATGGATTAGCTGCGGCGCAGTGGCCGCATTCTCGCGGACTTTCCGCGAGAATATGCAAAAATTTCGAGGGCCGCACGGTCCTTTGTGGAGGACCGCGCAGCCCCCAGGTACTTTCCGCTGAGAGAAAGTACCTCAAACTTGAGTAATTAAACCAACGGTCACACCTCTGCCACACAGAGTCTTGCCTGCGCTCGACGTACGCCCGAAAATGCCTAAAAAGAGTCCGAGCGCTTGCTGAAAGTTCGGCCAGCGCTCGCTGAAAGAATTTACTTGCCGAGCGCTTGCAAAAAATGCTGTATTGCTGCCCGCTGGCAGAATATGCGACCGTAAAGGAAGTGCCGCCCGCTGAATGTTTGGCTACGCCTCAAAATTCTGCTGACCGCCTGCAGAAAAGCGCGAGTTTGCGGACCGCTTGCCCTCGGCGATTATCTGAGTAGTGGCGCGTGAGCAACCTAAAATTTAAAAATACTTACAACTCATATAACTTTTTCACAAATTTTCGTACTTTTCTTCTTACCATCGCCGCGGGTGTGCACAACAAATTTGGTGGGGCTCGATGTTGCTTACTCGTTACAAACAAACAGATTGTTTATATCTTTGTGCGTAAAGATTTGTTTTGACACGTTGAAATCGATGCACCCAGGTTTACTCACTACTCGTGCTTTACGTGTTACTTTACCTGTAAATTGTAAGATTACGTTAGACCTTTAGACGTGCTAGGAGTTAGATTTGTACTTTCTGATATTCTGTCAGGTTTCTTTTCCGGGTGTTAGAAGAACTTAAATACTGCGAAATGGCCGTTATCATTGGAGCGCGTTTTTATCTCAGAACTTAGCGTTGTGCTCCAGTTTCGGAACATGTGTTCTTTTCCTTGCATGAATCGTGGACCTTTCCCCCTTTAGATGTTCTCTACCGTCTCGGTTTTGCTCATTATTTGTCATTCTGTAATGTTTCATATTGTTCACTTTCCAGAGTGCAATTCTTGTGGGAAAATGTTCGGTGGAAGCGGCGTTCCTCTGTCGGATCGACTAAACGTGGAAAGAAAACAAGCTGGACGAGAGCATCAAAGACTACTGGTATGTTAATTTGTCTTTTTGTCGAAAAGTGGCAAGACATG